TATTTATGTATTAAAGTGATCACTTTAATGCTGAAGCTGATAAAGTTTGGGCCAATTTGAATGACTTATGCTAGGTAGAGGCGTCTGCAGTGATGCGGGCCGGACCATCGTGGTGAAGAGGGAGCTGAGCTGGAAGGCAAAGCTTAAGATTTACTGGTCCATCTATATCCCAACCCTCACCTATGGTCATGAGCAACTGAGAGAATGAGGTTGTGGATACAGGCGGCTGAAATGAGTTTCCTCCGTGGGGTGTCTGGGCTCAGTCTTAGAGATAGAGTGAGGAGCTCAGACATCTGGAGGAAGCTCGGAATAGAGCCGCTGCTCCTTCATGTCGAAAGGGGTCAGTTGAGGTGGTTCAGGCATCTGATCAGGATCCTCCTGGGTGCCTCATGTTAGAGGTGTTCTGGGCACATCCCTCTGGTAGGAGGCCCCGGGGCAGACCCAGAACACACTGGAGGGATTGTATATCTCATCTGGCCTGGGAACGCCTTGGGGTCCCCCAGGAGGGGCTGGAAAGTGTTGCTTGGGAGAGGGACGTCTGGGGTGTGTTGCTCGGCCTGCTGCCCCCGAGACCCAACTTTGGATAAGCGGGTAAAAATGGATGGATGGATGCTGGATAGCAGTATATTAGATTAATAACTAAAGCTTGAAAATATAATTAGCTGGATAAGAGGTACAATATTTGCCTCCAGACTGTAGTGGAGCAGAAGCAGAAAGTAGCATGAAATGGAAATACTTAAAACTAATAGCTACATTCCACAACTGCACAGCTGTTCATTCAACTGAAAAACAGATCAGATACAGTAGATGAAAACAGTGAGCTGTCAGAAGGTGCTGTATGTGAAATCTTCTGGTCTACAATATCAATCCACCAATCTGGTATTCAATATGAGCAGAGCAGCCACAGGATGTTACAGATTACTCTTGGCTTTCTGAACTCTGGCTTTGGTCGAGTGCTGTTGTGTGCAATTGATCAAAAATCAAATTTATGAGTGAATAAATGTCTGCAAATGTAAAACAGAGCTGAACATCTCTCTGTTTTTCTTTGTCATGCTGTATCACAGATGTCTCCCTGATGTATTACCAAGCCTATTGTGTAATCCTTGTGTAACAAGTGTCCTGTCATCACCACATAGGGCCTGCTGATAATACTCACTGTGCTCACACAAATTGGGAATCCTGTCATCCAGTCCTTTACATAATCGTCAATGTTAAAATGTTACGTATATCATTTCTATTTATTGTTTTCACTGATTTTAATACCAGCTTTACTCACACAGTGAAACTCACAACAGGTTTATCTTTGCAAACGCACAATGTGGTTGTGAGTGTTCAAGGTAGCAAGAAGAAATTGAATGAATAAATGAATAATAAATTAAATTAAGTAAAGATAAATTAAACTGGAAAAAGCTCCAGTTACATCAGTATTAAAGGTTCAGCAGCTATTTTTTACTGTCCCTGTTATATGACAGCTGATTTCGTCCTCTGCTTGAGAGTAAGGAGCTCCCGGACCTTACTGTCTCCCCAACTTGTTTACAATTTAAGCTGCTTTTTAAATCTCATGGCGGTGGGTTGTACACACAACACATTGTCGAAATGTCACACCTGTCCTGTCCTGCCAGCTGTCCCTTTTGCACAGACGTTAATTTAGCGCTGTTACTACCTCCGCAGCCGGCTTAAAGGCGAGACAACTCTGTCCCCTAATGCTGCGATTGTACCTTTTATAAAGAACTGCAAGGTGGATTAATGGCGTGACATTCCCGCCTTGAACAGGCAGTGCCAAGGGCTTAATACATGTCAATCACTGCTTGTGCACATGCTGCACTGCCAACATCATATACAGCAAAGACAAGTTAAAAGAAGGAAGAAAGAGAGAACACAGATGACGAAAAGCTCATCTTAACTTCCAATTTCACAGAAGAAGCAGAAGAAGACCGACGTCTTCTCTGATTGGTTGTTTTCATTCAGGTGCGGTGGATTCTTGCAAATTCCATAGGTACCACTAGGAGGAGCCAGAGGGACATGATTCTTCCTAAGATTATCTGTCTCATGTAGTACTGTCAGGATATAGTGACGGTTTGTTCTAAATTAAAGTTACCTACTGTAGCTTTAATGCAAAAAAAAAAAAAACAATTTTATTTTCAATTCATGTTGAGTATTTAATTTTCTGTGTAAAAGATTATAATGCCATATGAAAAGATTTGACTAAAAGTTGGTTATAGTTTCATCTGTGTTGAGACTAAAGGAACAAACAGGTTTAAACCCTTAAAGTGTCCCTCCCCTCTAAGGTGTGTTTTGCCTGTTTACTTCTTGGTTGTTTACTTTGGCTGTACAGGATGAAGTGTGTGCAGAGTTTGATACCAGAAAGCTGCTCTACCTGCTGGGGAAAGTTTCCTTGAGTTTAAATGTTTGTTTTACACGTGTACACACAAGCAGGTGTTTGTGACAGCTAGAGAGCCATTCATGGTGCAGGACACAACTTAGACAAGTGTGATGCGGAAACTTGAACCCTCTGGTGCACATTTCAGTGAAGTAAAGGACATCTTTAAGTCAAACTTTTAAGAATGCACCATATTTACATATTAATAGATTCTGGATTTTTTATTTAGTGTGTTTACATGTGCACCAATATCCTGGTTAGGATAGTGTTTTTGGAAAAATGTGCTGTGCATGTAAATATATCTTACACTGGTTTCAGAGCCCTCGATAAGCCATTATTTCAGTTTTGAGAAACCTAGATAGTAAAGCACAGTACAGTACAGTGGCATGTTAACACCATGTTGTCCAGATTTCTGAACACTCTTTGTTCTAGACAGTCTCTGCTCTCCAAATTTGGTTCAGAACATAGAGGCTGAGATGGCAAGAAACAAAGACACAACTGCACAAATATGATCAGAACCCTGCATACTGTTAGAATCATGTGTACACGTACATGAATAACATGTATCATGTTCCATGTAAACATCATATATCAAAATTAAGACCAAAACCAGAATGAGGCTTAAAACTGGGGTACTAAGGCACATATAAATACACTCGTTGAGGGAGAAGGAGCAGATCTAATTAAATTAATTTTAATTTACCTTTTTTAATTTTTACCTTATTTACCCTTTTTTCCTGTGGAAAAAAACCACAGACTTATATTATTATTTATTCCAACCAGAGTATTTTTATATGTGGTTGAACTGTCGACCACATGTCTGTAGGTAATCATTAACCTTTGACACAACATTAATGCAGACCATCACTTAGTATCATTACTTAATATATTGATAAAGTGTACACTGTTAACATAGACTTACTGACTCTGCCAAGAATTACACCGCTGTCACTTCGCCTTCTAATTTTTGCTTCCAAGTGTTCTTGCACAGCCCAGAACTTTCTTTAAATCTATTCTTTTTTAATTTATTATTTTTTTGACAGCAGTTTTTATAACAAATTGTGAGAAACAATAATTTATCCTGCTGTTTAGATTTTTTTAAATTTAAATTTAAGAACTTTGTACATTTTTGGAGGGATAAAATGTACATATAAGTGCCATGACATATATGCCAGGGGGAGACTAGAGGAAAAACAGAGTAGCAGTCAGTGAGGTAGGGTCTTTTGCACAATACCACCCCAAAATCAGGCCGTAGGGGTCACGTGTATTTCACCCTCTTGGCCCAGCACTAAATGAACACATTTTTCTGAAGATGATGCAAAAAAAAAGTATTAAGTATGTTCTTATTTTAGTTTTATACACCTCTTATTATTTATTTATTTCACTTCCTGTAATTATCTGTACTGTAGCTGTCGTTGTGCTGCTGCAGTAACTGAATTTCCCCACTGTGGCCCAATGAAGGTTTATCTTATTTTATCTTGTCTGCAGTAATGAGCAATATCATGAACATGATAGTGAATATTATTAACCATGCACTCTTACTCTAACCTCTAATTTCAGATCTGATACTGTACATATATCTATACACAGCCAACCTGATTTTGGCATTGTATTAGTCCATATTTTGGATGTACATCTTTTTTTCAAGTTCTTAATTTATGTGTCACATGCACAGCAATTACAGCGAAGTAGAAGAAGCAGGTTGGAGTCCAACACGGAGGAGTCAGCAACAAAGCAGATTTTAGTCACATAAAAAAATCCCACCTAAACAATATCAACATCAGTTTAAGTGTATGCTATATTTATAATATTTTCACTGTTTTATGTTACTCTCAGAGATTTCCAATGGGAAAATGAGGCTGTTATATTGCTATTTCTAAAGCCAGACTCCATTGAGAAAAAGAATGATTAAGATCGCTGAACACAGGAGCTGCTGGGCTACTGCTGCTTTGAACAGATATTTTGTTTGTGTTATTGTGTGACAGTGTGTTAATTCAGATTCACCAGAAAGTCACACAATAACACAAACTAACTAACTGATTGAAGCAGATCTAGACCAGCAGCTCCTGTGTGAGGCGAGCTATAATTACTGTTTTTGTCAATGGAGTTTAGTGGCTTTAACAAGAGCATAGATGGGGAACTGAAGCTGCTAACGGTCTCTCAATATAACATTCATTTAAACTGATATTGATTTCTTAGGTGGGACTATTTTAAGGTGGCTAAATTGGTTTTATTTTGTTACCCCCGTTCACAGCAGAACATTGTTTAGCTCCCATGTCAGAATCCATCTGGCCTGCTTCTTCATACTCAGGGCATGAAGACTGACATCAACTGTATGTAATATACAACCTATGGATAAATATCCTATATAATCCAACTTAAAAAAATCTCAGGTTCCCTTCAACAATGACAATTAAATATATATAAGTAAATCTATCTATCTATGATATTATATCTTTAAATAGTTGTCATATGTCAATATTTCCTTTGTTCAGCATTGTTGTCCTTTTTAACAGTTAGGTCTATTTCTATGTAGCGTACACTGACAGGAATACAACCTGGAGTCAGTTCTGTGTAACAGGACAACCTGACGTCACATGCGGCGCAGACGTCATCTCATACGCCCTCAGCGCTGACCAAAAACATTTGTGTCCAGACGTTAGCGCTCCGGAGAGCCCGACAACACTGGCTTTTTTCCTTTTATTTAATCAAGTCTTACTCACAAGCCGATAGAGGTTCTTCGAATATGGTCTGTGGCGGTTTCACCTGTTCCAAAAATGCGCTTTGTTCCCTGAATGTGGTTTATATGGTGAGTATTCAAAATGGATCATCATGCTAAGTTTTAGCGAGCTACGTTAGCTTAGCCTCAATAGCTTCTGAATGAACTGGCGTAATGTAAGCTAGCAAGTTAGCTACAGCGCAGAAAGATAACTGATTGTTTAATATTCCTCTGTTTCCATTTTGCAGCCGACCAGTGGTATGGGTTTATTTCTGTTCATTACATATTACAACGTTAGACATTTGTAGTGTTTGTTAGCTAATTAGACATAAATGTAGAAAGTAGTAATTTTAGCTAAACTTAGCTAGCTGCTAGCTATCGCCATTATGTGTATGGAAGCTACCGTTAGCTGGGAGGCCAGCTGACCCAAAAACGTGAAAGTGACATGCTTGAATGGTTTATCTCCCACATCCTCTGTCCTTCTTACTCACAAAAAAAAAGATTTAATCGGCTCATGTGTTTGTTCGTGTTTCAATCATGTGAGTAGTGATAGTCAACATGTTGTCTCAGCTCGGTTAACGTAAACTCACCGTGAACTGATGGTTAAATTGAGATTAAAAATGAAATATGGAAACCACTGTTTCACGGTACTTCTTTTGATAGCAGTAAGTATGACCTCTCTATAACTTAACATTGTGAATAGATGTCTGAGGGGAGGTTAGACTTCATGTTTTGGCTGTGGTTCCAGTTGTTGTATGTGATCATATTTTCTTGTTCCTGTTAAATATTCTAAATTTATCATGTACACAGCAGTTACTGAAAAGCAGTCGTTGGCAATGAAAATAAGTCTCAGGCTCCCTCAAACAATATTATTAAATATGTATCAAAAATAGATCACGCAAGTAGAACAAAGAGAATCTACACTAAACATAAGGGATGAAATATAACATAAGTAATAATAAACAATACTAATAATAAATTTAAATGCATAATATCGGCCTAGGTCTTTCTGTCTCTCCCTCTCTTTATCCATCTATCTATCTATAGAATAGCAAACAGTTTTGAATACTAAATAGTATTTAAAAAAAAGAGTGGCCATATGAGTGTAAATGACACAGGTAGTAAAGCCTCAAATATGCACCTGAGTTAACACCAAAACGAAAAGTCTCACCAAAAATCAACCACTATAAAGTAATGTTGCATTTATTGCAGGGCTGTCGCATTGCATCACATTGTACAGCTGTTTCTATTGTTCTTGTCTCTAACTGTGTCACTGTTGCTTAGTAATGTGTTGTTTTGTGCCTCCCCTGCCATGTGTTGAGTATTGTTGGTTGATGTGTGTATTGGGCAACAGAACATTAATGTTTAACTGACCTGTCATGTCTTTTTATCTGTCGTGCCTATTTTTATTGTCTAGAACTGAGAAGATTAGTCTAGTAAGATAAGATAGAAGTTTTTATTTTTCCCAGAAGAGCAGCTGCCGTACAAAGTAGGAAAGAGTGCACATAAAACAAAGTCTAAACAAAAAGACTAGCAATAAGGTGCAAAAAATATAACAAATTAGTCAATTAAGATTAAATGAATAACTATTCTGATAATTGATAAATTAAGTCAGTTTTTTAAGCCAGAATACCAAACATTTGATAGTGCCACTTCTAAAATGTTGTGTTTGCTTGTCTTTATTATAATAAACTTAATATCATCGGTATAAAATTGTAGATTAGACAGAATAAAAATCAATTTGAAGATGTCATCTAGGGCTGTGGTAAATTGTGGTGGGCATTTTCCATGTTTTCCGATGTTTACACACCAGTTAATTGAGTAAATACCTGTCACATTGATTGGAAATAAGGGGTTTTGGCTATTAAAAGTAAATTTTGTCGTCATACTAACTGACCCACGTAATTTTCTAAGCTGAATGAAATGTGGATCCCTCTGTGTGAGTCAAACATGCCTTCCTAATCATTCTATAGACCATTATTTATCCACAGTTTGGGTCAGACATAACTGAGCTATTGAGTCAAAAACATCTTGATACTGTTCGCCTTACACTCTCCTACCTGCTGTCTTTATCCTTCTTAAGTCTGCCAGGTATGCATTATGTGAAAGACATGGGAGTAAAGGTAGCACTGGATCATTTACCTGCTGTTGTGACACACTAGCAGCCACACAGTCATCTCACTGTTGAAAGAAACACTAAGACTAAGACACATCCCACCCAGTCAGAAAACTTTGGAATGTGTTCACATGCCACCAATCATGTTGACAGCTGAGCTGAGTCACTGTAACTGTCACGAGTGTGATGCTGTAGTTGCTGTGTAGAATTAGGACAGCGACAGCAGTGAAAGAAGACGTATAAGAGCAAGAAGGACAAATAGTTCCCTCGTGAAAGGATGAACCCGTTTGAGTTAGACGTGACAACCAAATGTGAATTCTGTTATGTTTTGTCAGCTCCCTTAAAAGGTAAAGATCAGTATTTTAAGCCGTTAATATCACAGGAAATAAGCAAGACTGTTATAGTTGAGATTCTGTTAAAAGTAATCAATGAAAGGAACAAAGAAATGTGACAAAACATTACAGTTAAGTCAGTGTTTCTAATTTGTTTCAGATGATTCAACAGTCTCATGATCCAGGGCCTTGTGAAGAATTGTTAATATCAGAATCTGAACTCTTAGTCAGCCTGTTTCCTTCTCTTCCACCCTCGCTGTGTTTCACTTGTGTTATTTATTGGCAAACACTTCAGCTTGAATCATCACAGAGCTAACTGGTGTTTAAAGGATAACTGTTGTTAGTGGTGATCAAAACTCCGTACTATGACCACGTGATGGCTCACTTCCATCTGACGCAGCCTGCCTCAGCTGACTCTGGTTAACTTCGTTCCCTCTGCTCCCTGCAGCTGGTCGGGCTGCTGCTGATCGGAGTAGCAGCATGGGGGAAGGGCTTCGGCCTGGTGTCGAGCATCCACATCATCGGAGGGGTCATTGCGGTGGGCGTCTTCCTGCTGCTCATCGCTATCGTTGGCCTCATCGGAGCAATACACCACCACCAAGTCATGCTCTTCTTTGTATCCTTTCCTCACATTGGCACTGATATACAGATGATTATTGTGCTGTTTCCACTGAAGTGTGACTTTAAAAATGTGGTCATGTTGATGTTATATTCTTCAGTTATGTCTTCTTTACTATGTTTTTGCACCGTTGTTTCTTTGACCTCTTCCTCTCAGTACATGGTCATTCTTTTTATCGTATTCCTGTTCCAATTTGGAGTTTCCTGTTCCTGTTTGGCAATGAACCGTGGACAGCAGGTGAGAAAACTCTATTATGTCTGCAAAAATAAATAGTTTTAATGGTCCAGTATGTAGGATTTAGGGGGGTATAGTGGCAAACATTGTGTATAATCACATGAAAATCAGAATGATGGTGTTTTCTTTACCTCAGAATAAGCCGTTTATATCTACACAGAGAGTGGGTCCTCGTCTCTGGAGTCCACCATGTTTCTACAGTAGCTCAGAACAGACAAACCAAACACTGGCTCTAGATAAGGACATTTGTGTTTTCTCGTTTTTGCGATAGATAGTAAACAGCCCTTCTGCGGCTAGCAGCGTTCGTAAACAGATATTTTTTAAGTTCACACTTTACTCATGGGAGAAGTTTGAACTGGTTGCAGTCTGCGATCCTCACCGCTAGATGCCATCAGATCCCCCACACTGTTCCTTAACCTTCTGTGATTTATTTATTTATTTTAACAAGAACTTAGCTTCAATTTATTCATATTCTTTGCTTTTCCAGGAGGCACTTCTGAACTCCGCTTGGGGAATGTTGGTGAACAACACAAAGACTCACCTGGAGACCCAGCTGGACTGCTGTGGGCTGCTCAACGTCACTGCCAGCCGGGTACAGTTTGATCAGGACCTGCAGAACTGCCCCGCTGTGAGTCTTAGATATCAAGTTTTTCATCACATTATTGAGAAAAATGCTATTACTTAAAGGGGACCTAATATGCTTTTCATTATTTTCAGTGTTTGAGTGTCTGATGTTCATAAATGTGGCTTATTTTCAAATAATGAGGTAGACAGGCTCTAGACCGTTCTGAAAACTCTGTGTTCAATGTTTCTTTCGACTGGAGACAAGCTGATTTCTTTATATGGTCATCTGCTTTAGGTACACACAAGTGCTTACAATACATACACTGCTAACTGTAGCTACATGCTAACGTCAGGGAAACATATAATCGTGGTTATCACTGTTGTTAATTTCTCCCCAGTTTCGGATCATATTCCTTCTGGAACAATTCCAGTTGGGAAGATTATGGTTTAGAAGCTTTTATTGGTGCAATGTTGGTGCAGAAATGCAAAGAGCGCAGATACTGAAGACTTTGAAACGCTGACCAATCAGAGCAGACTGGGCTTTTTCAGGAGGAGGGCTTAAAAAGACAGGTGCTAAAACAGAGCATCTCAGACAGAGGGTGAATACACGTGTTCCAGCACAGACTGTATGAGGAAGATGAAGTGTTTTTTAAACATTACAACACGTAAACATGTTCTTGTAGAAACCAAAAAGTATGAACCGGAAAATTATCATAATGTTGTGTTCACACTGGGCGCGAATAGAATAACTTACACCTGGTGTGAGCACAACATAAGAGGTCCCCTTTAATAGAAAACCAGCTTGAACAGAACTATTGCAGATTTGCTGCATAATAAAACTATTTTTTCTGTTTCATTCACATTATATATCATGTTATTCAAATAAAATGTTCAACTGCATCATAGATAGACACTGCAGTTTCACAACATGTTCTCAGTTACACAATATGCCCCACTGAATAAAATCACGTAAGCACTTCCCTTAACCAGGAGAAGTTAAAAGTAGGCCACTTTCTATAGACCTCAGAATAGATTTTAGTAGCTAATACTGGCTTAGCTGATGAACCGTTGACTCATACTGCTGAAGACTAAAGGCCTCTTCTTCTTTTGTGTGTCTCTCACTCCAGTCATGCAAAAAGACACCCCTCGGCTGTTACACCTGCGGGGAGAAGATGCTAGATCATGCAACAGAGGCTCTGAAGATCCTCGGGGGCGTTGGACTCTTCTTCAGCTTCACAGAGGTGAGAGTCCGGTCTCCAAACCTACATCTGCTCACCATTCACTCATGTAACTAGTCTGATACATCTTTGTAGGACAAGAGAGAGACACTGAACTGAGTTAAATGTTGCATTCACATTCAACTGATTGCTGTATTTAGGCAAATGGATGTGCACGTATCCCCAAATTGGCATCTTCGGAGGGGTGGATTGTCTGTCATGTTTAAATTGAGGGTTTCTCAGAGATTTTTGTTGAGCAAATCATCCTGTAATCACAAGTTTGGCAGTTTGATTTCTTGTTCCCCCTAAAAAAAAAACAGATCACACCAGAATTAAAAAATGTCAAAACTTGTTGAGAAATTATTTCATTTTAATAAAATCTCCTCAATCAATTGACCTGAATCACAATCAGGGGCATCAAAATGTTTGACTATACATCATTTATTGTTTTTCTCACTGTCGCCTCTCCACACTAACTGTTTACCCGCTGCTTAACTGTTACTGGTCGATACCACTTGGACTACAAAGCTTAACCACAATGCGCCCGATACCACAATCTTGTCCCAATCTATAAACAGATTCTGCATATGTATGCAGGCACAGTTTAAAGAGACAGGCACTAAAACAGAGCGTCTCAGTCAGAGGGGTTAGCCAGTACAGGCAGTATGAGGAAAAGAAAGGGTTTTGGAACATTAAAGCATGTGAACATGTTCAGGTAAAAACCCAACATACAAGCATGAACCTGAAAATGAGCACAATAGGTCCCCTTTAATCTTTTTGTCTTTCATGTCTTTCACAGATCCTGGGAGTGTGGCTCGCCGTGCGCTACAGGAACCAGAAGGATCCACGAGCAAACCCAAGTGCTTTCCTATAGTCGGTCCCACGTGCGCAGCTCAGCGCTGCAGATGCAGTTTCAGACACACTGGTACACATAGAATCATGCACATCTAGAGGCAGACACACAGAACAACACCACACCAACCACAACGACACGGAATGGACGAGCGCACGCAGCACCTGACTTAACACTGAGAAACGAAACACACGCACACCTTCACCCGAGACTGAGAAACTACGCCCACCTGTCCAGAAATGATGCCAGAGCTCCAGCTGGAAGACCTGGATACTTATGTATGAAAGGATAACTTGTAATACCAAGAAGTGTGACTTGTTGGTGTCGCGACCCAGCCTTGATTTGAGTACCAGATCTCCTGCTAGTTTCCAACTATGTAACAAGGGATGAGACGTCTCTGCATGTGTCCTACGCCTGCACAGACAAACAGCCTCTCTGTTGATTTCATTCCACACTCCAACCAAATGACTGTGCCGTGTCCAACAAAATAACTTGTATGCACCTTGAAATTTTTTCCTCTTGTCTCTAATGTAGTGCCACCACTTAAAAGACGAATATATTCCTCTGGTCAGTGCTATCGGTGATGTGTAGAACTGTAAACCCAAACATGTCCAGTGTGATGAGTTTGTGCGAGGGCGGAAAAAAGACGGCACGTACTGGACATGTGGTGTAAAGTAGTTTTCGAATTGTATGTAAATGTTCTTTTGTTTTTTCAGATGCCACAAATGCCGGGATTAAACAGGATTAGGAAGCAAGAGTAGATGTTAGGTAACGTAGTTGCTAGTCTCTCGGGTTCAAAATATTTATGAACTGTAACTGAGCCAACTAACTTTTAACAGTCGGAGATATTAGGATGCCAACGGACTGCAACCTTGATGTTGTACATAATCTTTTAGAAATCATTCTCGATGGGTTTGCCGTGTAGTTGTCCCTCTCGCTGGGAGGTTTGCCTGCATAGTTGAGGTCTTTGACGGCCACAATAATACACCCCTCCTGTATTTAATATGTTCCTTTGTGTCGCACAGTGATGTTGCTTAGTGTAGACTCTGGTAGTAGAGAAGTGGATTCAGGTACGTATCATTTTACCTCCTGTCTAACTGGAAGAAATCACATAAAAAAAAAAAAAAAATAGTGCTGGTTAATTTGAAGTAATTGGGTAAATTTGGCTGAAACTGCTCATCGCAAACCCAGTTTTGTTTTTAATGATGTTTATTGTAAATGTGCTCTTGGTTGCAATTATTTTTTGAATATTTTGAAACAATTATTTAGATTATTTGTTCTCAGTTGCCATCCGCTCTTTTTGTTCACCAGTGTTAAGATGCTTTGTAAAAAAAAAAAATGTGTTAAATATTTCAGGATCTATTTAAGTTAAGTTTGAGGACGCACACTAGGCTGAAGTTATGTCGTAGTTTTAATGATATAATTTTGATGCCTTGCTCGATGTTTGACATTTCCTGTTTATAAATCACTGCTTATTAATTCTCTCTCTTAAGGTGTTTCTCCTCTTGTTTTATTGTTGAATTGCTTTTAACTTAAAGGACTAACACAAACTGTAATTACATGTCTTACTTGAACCTGTCGACTTGGCTGGTAATGGATTTCCTGCTGCTGATTCAGAGTCATCGCTGGTGTAAACAAACATTTTGATAGATCTTAAGCATTATGCCATATATTAAACCTCACTTTGAATTTGTGTGCACTTGTTATTCAAATGTATCTTGAATTTTTGAGACTTAATTTTCCAAATAATAAAACCTCAGATTGGAAACTGACGCACTTGAGTCATGTTTAAGTAAATATGCAGCCTGAATGGTGTAATTATGTTTTTGATGTGTGTTCTTGCTCTGACAGTAGTAATTATGGGTCATTTTGAAGCTCGGCTACCAGCGAGGGGGAGTTACTGAGTACAGTTTAGAGGTTTTACTTTTAAGTATTTTGTTTTACTCTCATGCCACTTTATACTTAGACTCCTCTACATCTCACAGACAAATATTGTTAGTTATTTGACAAATTAAGACTTTGACTGGGTGATTGCAGGTTCATAAAAAGTCTTTGAATGTCTCCCCAGCAACACTTTCCAGCTCCTCCTGCGGGATCCTGAGGCCAGATGAGATATATAATCACTCCAGTGTGTTCTGGGTCTGCCCCGGGGCCTACTACCAGTGGGACGTGCCCGAAACACCTCGAACAGGAGGCACCCAGGAGGATCCTGATCAGATGCTTGAACCACCTCAGCTGAGCTCCTTAGACTAGGTATGCTCCATGATCCACTATCTCATTCTTTCGGTCACTAGTACTTTCATTTATCCATCATTTAATTTCTTTTTGTCATAATGAGTCAGTTAAAGTCCACATTTCTGAAGTAACAAGTCTTAAGACCTACCACTGAACCTAATAGTCTTTTTACCTTACAATTGCACTTAGTTACCCACATTCCTCCATAAAATCTAACCCTACACAGGACCACATATACAGTGCCCTCCAAAAGTATTGGAACAGTGAGTCCAATTCGTTTACTTTTGTTGTCGACTGAAAACATTTGGGTTTGACATCAAAAGATGAATATGAGACAAGAGATCAACATTTCAGCTTTTATTTCCAGGTATTTACATCTGGATCTGATACACAACTTAGAAGATAGCATTATTTGTAATGGAACACAAATTTTTTAGGTGAGCAAAAGTATTGGAACATATAAACTTTAAATAGATTAAAGTGAATGAGACTTAATATTTAGTTGCAAATCCTTTGCTTTCAATAACTGCATCAAGCCTGTGACCCATTGACATCACCAAACTTTTGCATTCTTTTGTGATGCTTTTCCAGGCTTTCACCGCAGCCTCTTTCAGTTGTTGTTTGTTTTGGGGGGTTACTCCCTTCAGTCTCCTCTTCAGCAGGTAAAATGCATGCTCTATTGGGTTTAAGTCTGGAGACTGACTTGGCCAGTCTAAAACCTTCCACTTCTTGCCCCTGATGAACTCCTTTGTTGTTTTGGCAGTGTGTTTTGGGTCGTTATCTTGCTGCATGATGAAGGATCTCCCAATCAGTTTGGTTGCATCTTTCTTTAAATTAGCAGACAAAATGTTTCTGTAGACTTCTGAGTTCATTTTGCTGCTGCCATCATGTGTTACATCATCAATGAGGATGAAAGAGCCCGTCCCAGAAGAAGCCATGCAAGCCCAAGCCATGACATTACCTCCACCGTGTTTCACAGATGAGCTTGTATGTTTGGGATCATGAGCAGATCCTTTCTTTCTCCAAACTTTCGCCTTTCCATCACTTTGGTAAAAGTTAATCTTTGTCTCATCAGTCCATAAAACTTTTTCCCAGAATTTTTGAGGCTCATCTCTGTACCTTTTGGCAAATTCCAGCCTGGCCTTCCTATTCTTCTTGCTAATGAGTGGTTTGCATCTTCTGGTGTAGCCTCTGTACTTTTGTTCATGAAGTCTTCTGCGAACAGTAGATTGTGATACCTTCACTCCTGCCCTCTGGAGGTTGTTGCTGATGTCACTAACAGTTGTTTTAGGGTCTTTCTTTACAGCTCTCACAATGTTTCTGTCATCAACTGCTGATGTTTTCCTTGGTCTACCTGTTCGACGTCTGTTGCTTAGTACACCAGTGGTTTCTTTCTTCTTCAGGACATTCCAAATGGTTTTACTGGCTATGGCCAATGTTTGTGCAATGGCTCTGATTGATTGTCCATCTTCTCTCAGATTCACAATTGCTTCTTTTTCACCCATAGACAGCTCTCTGGTTTTCATGTTGGTTCCACCTCTAAATGCAGTCTGCACAGGCAAAACCTATCGTACCCAATCTGAAACTGAGCTCAGACATTCAGTGCTATTTATTGTTTGAATAATCAATGTAATTGGGAGACACCTGGGCAACAAAACACACCTGTCAGTCACATGTTCCAATACTTTTGCTCTCATGAAAAATGGGTGGGTTCAAACAAAAGGTGCTATCTTCTAAGTTGTGTATCAGATCCAGATGTAAATACCTGGAAATAAAAGCTGAAATGTTGATCTCTTGTCCCATATTCATCTTTTGATGTCAAACCCAAATATTTTCAGTCTACAACAAAAATAAAGGAATTGGCCTCACTGTTCCAATACTTTTTGAGGGCACTGTATGCCTTAACCTTATACTTACCTGCAATGCTATAAGCTAAAGAGTATTTGTCCAAAAATCAGTCTTAAGTGTGGTTAAAATTATCTTGAATAGTTCCTTAAACACAGGCAGATTATGAGACAATGGGCCCCTGGACACAGTCATGCAGAAGGCCCCACCACCTCCCCCACACAGAAGCAAGACACAGACTTTATAGTTCTTTAGTGCCTTTTTGTTGTTGTATATCTTTGTATTTTTGATGCATCTCTCTGCGGTTTTGTGTCTCTTTGCAGTTGCTTTGCATCTCTTTGTCTTTTTCTGGTTATTTTATTACTTTTTGTAAGTCCTACTGCGTCTTTTTGTCGTCGTTCTGTGTCTCTTTGTAGCCATTTTGTGTCTCCTTGTGGTTGTTTTTTCCTTTTCCATAGTTGTCGTGAGTCTCTTTGTGTCTCTTTGCAGCTGTTTTGGGTCTCTTTTTAGTGTTTTTGAGTCTCCTCCTGGTCACTAAGTGTCTCTTTGAGTGACATTTTGCAGGTGCAGGCCAGACGGGACCCCTGACACTTTGGGCCCTTGTGCCTGAGCCCAGTAGCATTAGAATTAAGAATCTGCTACCTGTAGAGAAACTGTTTGAATTGCATTACATTTATTTGATAACATCACCTACTTTGCAGTTTCAATTTATAAGTACACAGTATAAATTAGTTTCGATATATATTATTATAGATTAAGCTGCCCAGCAGTATATAATATAATAAAATTGAACTCCATCTTTACCAGCTGCAACATTTAGGTGACAAACATTTGTGTACATTTAGTGTTTGTCACCTAAATGTACTGTACTTTAATAACATTTTGAGGTACTTGTACTTCACTTGAGTATTTCCATTTTCTGCTACTTCATAGTTTTACTCCACAGTATTTATTTTAAAGCTTAAGTTACGTTGCAGATTCAGACATTAATACAAAACATAGATCAACTAATGAATTATGATGTTTAGATTAAATCACTCAGCAGTATGTTAAGTAATTAAAATTAGCTCTACCTTTACCAGCTGCAGCATGAAAGGAATTTTACCATGTGAAATGATGTAAACATTAATTATTACTGTAGATTGTTGTGTTGCTGTTACAGTACTGTACTTAAGTAATGTTTTGAGATACTTGTATTCACTTTAGTATTTCCATTTTCTGCTACTTTATACTTTTTACTCCACTACATTTATTTTAAAGCTTCAGTTACTTTGCAGATTTAGATTATTGATACAAACTATATATCAGCTCATAAACTATGATGTATCAATAGATCAAACTACTAGCAGCATATAAATCATTAAAATTAGCCTCACATTTACCAGCTGTATCATTTAAGGGCTGCTTTACCCACAAAACAACCATTTGTAAATCAGTTAGTCAAACTGTGTTACCTTGAATTTGTGAAGAAACATGCCTCCACAGAAAACAGCAAATATATTGATTCATTGACTGACAGGGGGCCACGTTTAACAAACGGCATCTGTTTACAAACTCTCACACAACTGGTGCAGTGCAAATCAAGTCTCTTTTATCCAGTCGTATGCGCAGTACTTCCCAAACACATGTACTTTCACTAAAAAATCTTAGTATTGGGGTATAACTTTGAAAAGAGCATAGATAAGTTTCACTTTCAGTTCAGTTTTAAATATTAATATATTAATAAATCAGTATGTTTGCAGTTTTCTGTAGCTGCAGGAGAGAAAAAACAAAGTTTTCAAGGTAACACATCATGAAGTTGATTTACAGATGGTTATTTCATGGATAAAATATTCCTTTAGGTCTCCTTTAATTAAGTATTTGCATTTTTTTCCTACTTTATAATTCAACTCCTCTATATCTACATTTGTCTGACAGCTTTAGTTACTTTGCAAATTTATATTATTAATACAAAATATAAATCAACTATTAACTCAACTATAATCACACAAATGCATCAGTAAATACAATTCATTTGCATTTGTATTATTATATTTTGTTGCTAACACTTGTACTTTTTGTTACGATTTTAAATGCTGGAATTTTACTTCTAAAGAATAGTTTTACCACATGATGGCAGCACAGAGTCTCTGCAGCTGCCGTTTCTTCCTGTTCATACTGGGTGTTATTTCAGCCCTGCTCTGACATGGATAAATACCTCCAGACAAGCAGTGAATCTATACACAGAGGTGTCTCTTTCTACTGACTGTTATCTTACAGATTGATTGCATCCAAGCTGAAGGTGGATGGCATCAACATGGCAGCTGTAAAATTAATTTACTCAAGCAGTAGGTTTTGATTCCCTGTGATATTCCTTCAGAAGGCCATTAATCCCTTCAGCTGGGACGGGTCCAGTAATGTGGGGGTGGGTTGTAGAGGGGAGGGGGGGCAGAGCAGAAGGAGAGCTCAAGTACACTCTGATCGGGGAATAGAGACAACACACAAGGATATTATCCAGATACCTTTCAACCAAGGTTGTCCTAAATGAGGATAAACTGCTCCTCTGCCCTCATCCTAATGGCCCATGGCAGACTGTCACCATCACCGCTGCCCCCCCTTCACGAGAAGGCGTGACCTAATCTCTGGCGTTGGTGCACCCCGCCAGGGAGCACCTGCAGGTTCACTTTCCTGAGACGCAGGAACATTTATGTAA